AGGACGCATCGACTCTCGCCGCCTCCCGGAGCCACTCAGGAGCCAGCCGATGACGAGACCAAAGACGACTAGAAGCCTTCGGCGTGATCGCTCGGCAGCCCGTGCCGCTTCATAATTGGACTTCGACGGACTTGATAGCATCGGACGAGCTAATACATTTCTTGATTCTTCTTTTCTTCATGCACATATGCAAACATGCATTTCTTCGCCTCCCACCATCAGGCGCGAAGTTGGGCCATAGTACTCTCGTACTTCAGCCTCCTCGTCGAGCTGGGATAGACGAGGACTGCGCCGTAGCACAGGTAGTCTGGCCTTTTCCCGGGTACGATCCTCGTACTCATCGACAAAAGAGCGGTAGTCTCTCAGCTTGGACTCGGGCACCCAGTCGACCAGTCCGTCGGCGTACTCCACCAAGTATTCCCGTTCTTGAGGAGTCCCGTAGCGACGATCCAGGACTGCCGTGACAGTAGACAACGAGTTGGAGAACGCCACGTCTCCGTCTTGAAACTCCACACGTTCAATCTGACTGTCGTCCGGGAGTAACTCGTCGTCCAGGACTGTATCTTCGTCACCCACGCTTAGCCAGGGCTCCCATCGTAATTCTCGGTATCTCATGGTTGAAAGACGCGTCCATTGTCCTCGATACATCTTGACTCGGTCGACGTTGATAGGCACCACTCGATCCGGGTAGGTTGGCAGGTATACACGGTAAGTATTTTCACGTTGGCGCGCTAAAACCCGGTACGGTCCATGCCAATGGTACGAGAACTTCTTCACTCGCATGTCATTGGGGTCACGAGACTTGTGGAAGTACTGATACACCCACACCGAGTCAGCAGGTTCAAACGTCACCTTCCTTTGTTGGTTCTTCGAGACGGCGTCCCGATTCTGTCCTTGAAGAAGTTGGGCCTCCACCAGTGGTCTCGTCGCCCGGAACCAGGCACTCTGCCGTCTTCGCCATTGGGGCAGCTCGTCAGTCTTCCACAAGGGTTCTTGGTTGACGAAGGCCAGGTGGAGCGGCTGCACCGGATCCCGTCCATAGAGACAGAAGTACAGGGTGTCCCCAAGCGTTTCCTCGTACGCCGTTCGGTACGCCCACAGTAGCCACGGGAGATACGTGTCCCAGTCGGTCTGGGCCGAGTTGACGTACATCTTGATCATGGTCGCCAACGTGGAGTTGAACCGCTCGACCAAACCTTGACCTTGGGGATGTCCGGGGGCGCTAGCCAGTTTGGTTTGTCGATCACCATAGCCGTGTAGAGGGTCGAGGCCAATTTGGACACAAAGTTGGAGCCACGGTCTGACAACAGCTTGCCCGGGACTCCATATCGACAAATCACTTCGTCGGTGAGAACCTTGTGAAAGGTCGAGGTCTTGCTCTGGTCGAGTCCAGATCAACCTCGCTGAGGTCGGTTGCTGGATGTTGGATCGATTCGTACGGGACGATTTACGACGGGACGATCTGTTCAGATAACCATCCGGTTATCGATCGTCGTCCTGGAGTCTGGGCGTCCTGGCAAGTTGCTATT